TTATGGGTTTACAAACATTTTTCTAAGATAACCATCTTCTACCAGAGTGATTTCCAACCCATAAGAACTTATTAAAACATCTTTCAAGAGACAAGATAGTACTCCTTTTGGGTTGAAGAACCTGAAGTATATATAAAGGAAGAGACCCAAGAATACTTCTCAACAAAGTAATACGACCCCCAAAAGAGATGAAGTTATTTTTCCAGTCCATGATTCTTTTTCGAATCTTCTCCACAACCTCGTCAAACTGAATACGTCTCTTACTGCCTTTGAGGATGAAAACCCCAAGATATTTGAGTGGGAGATTAGAGGGGGAGAAACCCGTATAGTTAGCAATCAAAGAGGCATTAGAGCGATTTATCGTTTTCCCCAAAAAGATATTACATTTACTAGCATTGAATGAAAAGCCCGAGATAAGTTGAAAATCAATCATGGCATTATGAATCACCTTCACTGAATTCTTGCTTGCATTAGAAAAGATGATCATATCATCAGCATAGGCCAAGTGAGACACCAACATACTAGATTTGTGAGAATAATGCAGCTTGGAGTTTCTCCTGAAAATATTGTTAAGAAAACGGGAGAGATAATCAAAAATTAAAATGAAAATGGTGGGAGATAAAGGATCTCCCTGCTTAATCCCATGGCCCGCAATGAAAACCCCATTGATGAGAAGTTATACTTATTGCAATTAAGCCAGGATTTTATAATATTGCAGAACTCTTGAGAGAAGCCACAAGCATGAATAATCTTCAATATAAAATCCCAACTAACTGAATCATAGGCCTTCCGAATATCCAATTTAGTAATCATGTTACCCCCTCTACACTTTTTCTCAAGGTCAAGAGTGAGTTCCTGAGCCAGCATAATATTATCAGTAATCTCCCTCCACTGAATAAAAGCAGACTGATTCAAGGAGATTAACTTGTGAAGATGAGGTTGAAGGCGTTTGACCAAAATCTTACTAATCAACTTAGAAATCACAAAGGTGAAGGAAATAGGCCTAAAATGATCCCAAGAGCTCTTCTGATTGTTCTTAGGAATAAGGACAAAAGTTGCAGCCAAAAAATAATTTTCAGGCATTTCTCCTTTAAAGAAACTTTATATGGCCGCCACAACATGATCCTTAACAATATTCCAATAAGTAATATAGAAAGCAAAAGTAAAGTCATCAGACCCCGGGGTCTTATTACAGTTAATCTCATGGAGAGTGGAATAAACCTCCCCAATTGTAGGAATAGCACAAAGATCCATATGCACCATATGATGTCTCACATCTTCAAACAAAGAGGCATCAATATTGCCCGTCGTCTCATGAAACTCAAAAAGTTTAGCAAAGTGTGACACAGCATTCTCCCCAATTTCCTCATTTCTAGTAATCCAATGCCCCTCATTGTTTTTAATTCTCACATTGATGTTATTAGCTCTTCTTTGTTTGATACAAGCATGAAAATACTTAGTATTTTTATCACCTCGAGTAAAGTGAGTTTCCCCCGCCTTTTGTTGAAGCAACTCCTCCTCCCAAAGAGAAGCCTCAAGAAGTTCTTTATTAGCATCCTCTAATTCGTGAATAATGCCAATGGTGTTCTCATCAAGAGCTTGAAGATTACTTACCCTTTGTTCAGCTTTTTTAACTCTAGCATGGACATCTCCAAAAACATCCCAATTCCAATATCTCAAAGCAACCGCAACCCTCTTGTGAAGTTTCCAAAGAACATAACAAGCGTTGCCCCTCTCCTCACACTTCCAATTAGCCGCTACAAATCTCAAGAAATCATCATGTCTAGCCCAGACATTTAAAAACCGAAAGTGGTAGATAAAGGACTTTTTATAAAAATCAAAGGATAAGAGAATAGGACTGTGATTCGATCCTGTTCTGGAAAGGTGTTGCACTTGAGAGAAATCGTAAGAAGTGTTCTACTGCTGATTAGCAAGGCATCTATCAAGTCCTTCAAAGAGCTTGCCCCTCTTCCAGGTAAATTTAGAGCCAATAAACCCCAAATCCGAGATACCAGCAAGAGCCATAGACTCATTAAAATTATTAGTTAAAGTGGAAACAAATCTTCTGCCACCAAGCTTCTCAGGCTCATGCATCACCATGTTGAAATCACCACCAACCATCAAGTTTTGATTGATAGAAGTTCCCATAACAACAAGCTTACTTGTGCCAGAGATCAGCTCTTACAACATTAGAAGTCCCAACATAAACAAAGGTAAGAAAGCCAAAGAACACGTCCATATTGAAATTGGTATGAACAAATTGTCTATCATCCGTAATGATGTCAATTGTAACATGTTTTCTCCAAAACAACCAGATTTTGTTAGAACAATTAGCAAAAAAATTGAAGTTTTTGAATTTACCCAAAATACGATCATCCGAGGAGGCGACCAAGGGTTCCAAAATAGAAAGCATATCCACCTTATGAATCCTAGACAAAAGTTTAATTCTACCAAGGGATTGAGGATTCGCAATTCCCCTGATATTCCAGATAACAATATTAAACATAAAAAGACAAATTACACTTCCTAGAAAATCTAGGTCGGGATCGTCCATTTTCATCATCAGAGAAAAATTGATTCTTATCTAACCCATCACTCCCAGTGCAAAAATTTTGAATCTTCTTATGAGACTTATTTTTCCTTCTACGATATTTTTGTACATATCATTCATTCCTCAAAATTTTCGAAATATCATCTAAAGGGAGTTCTGAGAGATTATCATTGCGATTAGAAATGAGAGATATGTTTTCCATATTGTGGGCAGCAGGGAGGGATGGCAAGGACGGGCGCGCCCCTTCATAACAAACCAGAATAACAGGATCCTACCCACAAACCGTACCTGTAGCCAAATCATCAGCCAAAACCGGACCTTCATCCCTAGCCGGGTAACAGAATCTTGTACAAAAACACCATCCTGATTACTAGCAGTCATCGAATTAAGAGGAGGGGAGGAAATAGGAATAATAGAAAGCGCCAGACCATTAAAAACCTGCGTATTAGTCTCACTAGGTGCAATACCATTAGAAACAATCAACTCCTGATTAGTATCAGTATTCGAAACAGTTATAGAAGTAGTAATAGGAGGCGTAGAGACAGAAACAGAAGCCCCCTTCAGATGAGGATCGGAGGGAGCAGAGTCGGGAACATCAATCCTGCCCTCTATCACATGCGTAAGGGAAGAAGAAGGGGGGCAGCAGCTGGTACAGACCTAACAGCCGCACCATCAGGCCCCTGCGGTTGAATCCTCCCCTCCCTTTTCCTTAAATCAGGATTAAACTTGAAACAGTGCTCTTGATCATGTCCAAACATCTGACAATGTTTACAATAGGAAGGGTGTTGCTGTAAACTTACCTTCTGCCAGTAACATATATGCTCCGAACTGATCCAGACCTCATCCCGAGGAGGTAAAGTGACATCCCTAGAACTCTAGCCAAGGAGGGTCGCGTAAGATTATACGTAGGAGCATCTAATTTCAGCGGTCTCCAAAACATAGCCGCTAAAGAGAAAAGAACCTCATGATTAAAAAGATGAACTTTCAGATAAGGGAACTTGATCCAGACAGGGATGACCGGAGCCTCTGCCTGGGGATCAAAACTAGAAGACCATTTTAGCACATTCATCCCAACATTCTCAAACCAGACCATACGCCTAGCAAACAACCGAGTATAATCTTTCTCATTCGCTAACTGAATCAAAATGTGGCTTCCATCTAGCGGAACAATTGTCCACTCTCCCGTGAGCTTCATCAGCTCAAAGTGTTGTCTAAGAAAATCTAGCTTAGGAATACCATAAATGAACTTTCCGACCAGATGTAAACGACAAGAAGACGCAAATTCAACATTCTCAGCATCAGTGAGAAAGAGAGCAAGCTTTCCCCCTTTCCGGCTGGGGCGGCGAACAAAAGAGGAGACAGAATCGAGCTTGAGATTTTCGTAGAAAACAGAGAAGTTAGGAACACCATCAGCGGTGACGCTGGCGTAAGAGCGAGGCCTCCGACTCGCCTCACCACGGCCGCCAGTCGTGACGACGGCGAAAGTACGCACCATGACAAAGGATCACCCAAATCACCATAGAAACGCAAACACTAGCAGCAAAGACGGAGACATCGCGAATCCCCGTACACACACACACACACGTGTATATACACATATATATATTATATTTTTAAGGTTGGCAGAGGCCCAAATATCGGTTTCCCATGCGCATCAAGGCCCCATGATTAGAGCCCGCGCCATGTGCCTAACTATTCGAGAACCCCGCACCACGGGGGATCGAACCTGTGACTTGAGAGGACTTACAGTGAACCCCGCCAACCAACAGGCCACGGCTTGCAGCACACATATATGCATGTGTGTGTGCGCGCGCGTGTGTATGCGTGTGTGTGTGAGAGAGAGAAAAAAAAAAGCATAATGCTTGGCGATTAATATAAAATAAAGCCATGACCTCTCAAAAAAAATGAATAAAATAATATTTTATTAAATCTAGTAGCTCAAAATATAATTATTTTTTTCCAAATTCATTATATCCTAGTTAACTCTTATAATTCTAAAACAAAGCTTCTCCTTGCTCCCAGTACATCAATAAGGTGGTAGAAAATAAATTGAAGTCGTGTGGGCATATTTCAAAGGGTAGAAGATGTACCAATAAATGTGCATAAAACTTTCTTGTGAACGATAAGAAACTAAAAGGGGTAGGTAAAAGGCAACATAGATACATGTTTTGCAAAAGGACTGGCACAAATGCATGCATGCCAAGCCAATCAGTGATTCTTAACAACGTTTTCAACTCATTTATGACTGAACATCTGAAAACAATTAACTATGTATTAAACAGTCCCTTCCATATAGCAAAACATAGGTCCAAACCAATAGACATGGCAAAATGTTTTAAAAAAAGATAAGTAGAAAAAACAAGTTGCATCTCTTGTGCATGATAACTATGCCCTATGATTAATTTAAAAGTTCACAAACCAATTTAATCATAAGGAAAATTAATCTTACCCAAAGGTATTCTTCTCCTTGATAACTTCCAAAGTAGCGCACAACATTTGGATGACTACACTGCTGCAGCATCTCAATTTCACCCCGAATTTCATCATATCCTTCTTCCTGCTCATAAAAAAAAAAACTATAAAAGTGTGTGTGTGTGTGAGAAAGAGAGAGAGTGAGAGTTACATCTCAATATTACTATCTTGTTTTATTTATAAAACTTTTTTATCATAAATTAAAAAAAATAACAAATGAAAATGAATAAAGTATGAGAAGACTTTGACATTGTGAAAAACATTCAACTTTAAGGCTTATAATGAAAAGCGCATATCAAAATCCTTTATGGCAAAAAAGAAAGAATAGATAAATGTCGAGTATCTTGTCAGTGTTCAAAGAAGAACCTCTCTATTTGAGTTCTAATAGCGCATTCAAGAGAATGAACCTTGAAATAATCAGCAACAAAAATAACACAATAGATGTCAAACCTATCATAAATTCGAAACCAACAAGCCAACAACAAAACCATCGATAGATTATACAAAATACAAACACTAGTGAAAAACATTCCTCTTGCTTGCATCCCCAACAAGATTTGAATGTTTCACTCAAAACCATCCTCCCTTCCCCACTCTCCAGCCCCTCCAGATCTCCCCCTCTTCATAGAAAAATTCAATCATGAAATTATCCATATAAGAATGTCACACAATACTATGGATTAGTTAAGAAGCATACCCCTTCAGTCAATGAAATAACTTTAATGGCAACAAGCTCTGAAGTCTTTAAATCCCTGGCTTTGTAAACAGCACCGTATGAGCCTTTACCTGTCCATTTTTAATAAGTGAAGTCAACTTAATAAAAGCGGTTTGAAATTATCAAGCAAATGGGAATATAAAAAGTCCATTATTAGTATTTTAAGCTGACATGGAGAGCACATTGTTGAAAAACCCTCTTTTATCAAAGTCTCGATGTAAATGGTAAATTCAAGCATGCCATGTAAAATATCCAAGTCTAAATGGAATGTGAAACTAGAATAACTCATTTAAATTTAGTTTAATTATGAGATAATAAGATCAAATTTGAATGATGCTTAAAAGGAAAGAAAAAGAAACCAAGAAATGAATCTAATGAGATATTGCACTTCAGAGGAGTAGCTATCCACAAATATTTTCTTAATGCTATATGATATGACGCTACCTATATTGTAATCAAACAAATGTTGAATAAATTTCAGAAAAAACAATAATAATTATGAGTTAATGAAGATTTCCAAATCACCTTGTTAGATTCAGATTCTTAAGACAAGCTACAAGCGCCTATCTAAAAGAATGAATCCAATAAAGTTCTACATTATATGTTCGGAAAATTAAAAAAGACAGCCCATTATGACACTTGAATACCATGCAATAATTAGATAAAAAATCCTTCTCTTCATAAATAAGTTGGAATCATCTATGACAACACTTGGAAAGAGATTTATTTCAAGCGCATTAGCAGGCACCAAACCATATTATCTTCTCTTAGTGGCTTAGAACTAACCTGTTCGCCTGTTCAAGCAAGTATCAAGTGAGTCTTATGCTAAGGCCCGCAAAATATTTATAAGGAGTATTCAAAATATGAAGTCATTAAAAATTGGTTCAAATGAATTTTAATTAAATTAGCTCAAATCCGATTTTATCAAATCCAACCCACGAAGTATTATAGGGTGTTAGTTTCCCTATCCCCTCACCTCCCTACATCTCAAGACTACCACACCTTTCCACCCCTCATGACCCTCACTCTTTTCTCACGGTCAAATCAACTTTAAAATGTAGTGATTGTAATCTCATTTGAAAGATAATCTTTGTATGTGGTATCAAAGTAGGCAGATTCAATAACAAAGTAATTCAATAAACTATTGAAGAGGGATAACTTTGAGAACCATATGAAATATACTTTTAAATAGGCTTGAGTAATGCAACTAAAATAAGCTCCTGGCACCACTTAAGGGTTGTCGCTATCATCCAGGTGAATACTGTAGTAGGGAGCAGCATAATACAATAATAGATAGGGGATATACAACCATCGCCATGCTTGGTTAAGAAATATTATTGTAATAACAACAGAATCTTCAATGAAAGGTTTTAAGTATTGACAGTTGCATACTTTCCAAAGATAGTTCAAACAAAAAATTGTTATTAATTTGGGCAATATTACATAATTCCAAAGGTTGGTATTTGTATATACTTCAATACGAGCAGTGATAGATAATGCAGAGTCAGGGCATAAAAGAAGTTAATATAAATAATGAAATCTCACTTACAAATTCATGAGTTGTGCCATAATCTCAATAATCATTTGTGCCACAATTGTATAATCTATTTATATAGCCAATTAGAAATGACAATAATGTTTTTACTCCTTTAATCATTAAATCTTATAATCACGAAAAATTTAGGGACATCCTCACTGTTAAGGAATCGAGAAGAATGGAAATGGTTCAATTAAAGGTTATGTTGCAGATATTAAGTCAGCAAAGTGGTTTGAATATGATATCATTGGAGATAATTTTATTGCTTAATGGGATGTTTTAGTGTTTTTTGTACTTATTCATGCTTACCATTAATTTTTGCATTTTAATTAATAAATTTCTTTACCATTAAGCAAATTTCGTTAGACACTAAACATGCATTAAAGTTGTTAACCTCTTAAGAACTTACACATTCACAACTTCCAATAGGCATGCAGACTATATTTTATTTGCAATGTGACAGCCAAGAGTCTAAAATAATTGGAATGAATGTCTCCCAAAGCTAGGTAGTTTTAAGAGATCCATGTATCGGTACACCCACTTGTTGGGAGAGGGTCCTAAGCTACTTGATGGCTTGATTATACTTTTCAAATCCATGAACATCAATAACAATATAAAAAAACCATCAAACTAAAATACTTTTCAAATCCATGAACATCAATAACAATGTAAACAGTTTATTTGTAGTTTTTTTTGGTAAATGACTATTCTGGTACTGTGCAGTGTTTTTGTTTGTAACAAACCGTAACGGCTACACATTTGACAATTGAGAATCAAATAAACCAATTCATGAAAGTACAAAAAAATGTTATACACTCCACTTAAGAGTGAATATCAAGAAAACATGAATTTCTAACATAATAAAAAAATTAATTTGACAAATATATCAAAAAGATTCAACCAAAGTTTATATAAAAATAAAAACTCATGATTCAAAGTAAACATAAATAGATGAATAATCTACCATTGAAAGAAGGCAGTAGACCCATAATGATGGGGATCTTGTTTGTCAGGAACGCTTGAATCAAATTTTTGTATGTAGAAAAGCATATAAGAAGGGCAATCCAAAAAACCACTTGGGTCATATGACTTGTCATAACCCTCTAAAAATAGAATTTCACAAACCCAAATCAAAGATTTAAACAAAATATAAAGAAAGTGAAAATAAATAAGTTTAGATGTTAGACATAAATATGTATAAACTTTGTGGTATGCATGCACATCATCCTCAAAAATATCAAAGCTAAAAGTAAGCACAAAGAGACGAATAATCTGTCATCATAAAAAGGCAGAAGAACCTTATAGCAGAGAATCACTGTGGCCAAAAGCATTTAAGACCAAAATTGTATATGTAGAAAAGCAGGTTTTACCATAGCTTGTTTCCTTGTGTATGTGGTTGGCTTCCCTCGCGAAAGCCAAACCTTCTTTTTCCTCTTTTGTGGTGGGCCTGAAAGCTTAAAAAGCATTCAAGGATGGCAATGGAGAAGAAGCAGGGCACGATGGCCATGGCGTGAGTAGGTGGCAGAAGATCAGGGATCCAATTTATGTTGCTCTCTGTTCTTCTTATTTCACTAGTTTGAGAGGCCAGCAAGTATCGCGGCAGAAGAAGCGAAAAAAAAAAGGAGATGAGTTTTTACCTCGAGGAGAAGGAATACCGAAGAACCAGGGAGAAGCTTGGGCGCTCGATCGCGAAGGAAGGAACGCGAGCGAAGTAATGCCGAAGAAACAGTGAGCGGCTAGGGCAGAGCTCGATCACGAATGCTTATGGCGAGGGTAGCGGGGTAATACGGTAGTAAACGCAGCCAAGGAACGCGGCCAGCGGGGATCATCCCGCGGGCAGCGTTATTCACAAAACCGAAACGGTGATTTTTGAAACGCTATAGAAATGCAAAAAACAAATAGGATACAATGCAATCACTTGAATAGGATTTGTCACAACTGAAATAACAAAACCTAATTTATATCAAGCAGGTATTAAATAGTGCAATAATTGTAATCACATTAATGTATCTCTTCAACATCCTCATTGTAGGATGTGGAAGTCACTGACATGTTGATTGTACGAACACGGGAATGGGATTTCTCAATCTGTAGCAAGAAATCTCCCACCTACAGAGGCTAGGGGGTCTTGTGTACCATATTTTAATTTATTTTTCAGTTAAAATTAGGGTTATTTTGGGAGAGAATTATTTATATGTTGTCATTTCCTACTCTGGGGACCTTTGCTTTAGTCTTCTGTATTTGGAAATTTTATTCTCTAATTTTTTGCTCTGAGGAATGATGTATCAACTTTTTTTTGTAAGTGGTGTATATGTGGCCTTTTCAAAAATAAGTTGTGAGACTCTCGCGAGAATTGTCTCACTAGAGCTGATGTTTTATGGTTCACTCAACTGTTTATAGCTAGTACAACCGTCAACCGCCTCTTATCTCATTTTAAATGTCATCAACCTTATTCTAATTCCTCTAATATTCCACAACTATCTCCCTACAAGATTACCTCTTAAACACCTTGTCATAATCTAAAAATAATATCATTTGATATCGGAGCCCCGCAAACCCTAAATTTTAAGGATTTCTCTTTCCTATGCATAATTTAAAATTAACAAGGCATAAACCTTCCACTAACTCAACACTTTAATCATTCATAACTTAATTCATAACCCTAACACTAAATTTTCAAAAGCTAATGATCATACCTCCATATAAAATTTGTTCTAACACCTACCAAAACATAAGCCTTTTGACCAACCTTTGATCAACAATCTTACATTCGTCGAAATCCTAATTGGGAGAAAAAAATACAATATCGTCTAGAATAAACACGCAAAAAGTGTCCATGAGCTTATGATGAAAGAAACGCAAAGGAAGATCTTCCAACTGCAACAAAATCTTGGCTCTTTTAAGAGAAGACAACCCAAAAATGACACCCATAGTCACAATGATAACTAACCAAATTAAGAGGAGAAAATGAATCCCTTCTATCACGAAGTTTTCAGTAATGAAGAGCCAATACCCTAGAAATTTGACATTGAATATCAAAGAAGATATTAGGATTTTAGAATAAAATTTAACTTGCCAGATTTTAATGGGCATTTAGGTCAAAAAAAATTCATCGTGAATGGAAAGATGTGTGGTCTTATCATACAAAAGCAGTTGTGAGAATATAGAATCTACCCATATAGTTGACACATTGAACTTGGCCGCACAGAAGCACACCTAACCTTATTTCATAACTTGGTTGAAAAATGAGAATGAGATCACAGTTGAAAAGAAATATTTTTGGAGTTCTCTATTAAAGACAAGTTTCAAAAGCAAAAGTGATATGATGTGGTACATATGGATGCTTGCCAAATCCTATTCGGTCATCCTTAGAAATACTATTGTTGCACATATCACGATGGCTACAATAACACATTATTTCATCGGGGATGGGAAGTGCATCATACTCTTACTTTGAAAGGAGTCCTAAGTAATAGGTGCCTATATAGAGTCTAAGAATATGGTGTCATGAACTAAGTTTCTGCATGCCTTAAAAGAAGCACTTGTTGGATTAGCATTGGTGGTCCAATAGGACAAGACACACAGCAACCCGAGTTGAGAATGTTTCAGAATGTCTTGAGCGACAATGTCGATCAGGAGGAACTCGAGAATGGGATTTCCAATCCCATAAGGCTCTATAGCGGGAATTCTCCCTCCAACTGAGGATAGATAGCCTCATGTGTCCTATTTGAATTTATTTTTGAATTAAAATTAAGGTTATTTTGATAATTAAATATTAAAAATATTCTTATTTCCTAATTTTGAGAACTTTTACATTGTATTAGTGTATTTAGAGAGTTTATTCTCTAATTTTCAGCTTAAGAGTGTTGCATCCTCTTTTGTAATTGGCGTGTCTGTAGCTTGTTTAAAAATAGGTGGTGAATCTCTCTTGACAGCCGTGTATCATCAGAGCCAGAGTTTCGTAGTTCTCTTCATTGTTTTCGGCCCAGACAACCGCCGAACGCCGCCTATCCCCTTCTAAACACCATCAACCCCACATATTTTTAATCCCTTGGTATTCCACAGTCACCTCTATGCTAGATCAACCTCTTAAACATCTTCTAGGTAACCTAGAACAGTATCACTGCATTCATAAAATGTGAATTAATAGGTTTTGCTCCTAGCTTTTCCATCGGTTTTGGCAACAAAACAAACAGAAGGCTGAAAAGCAACTTTGCTGTCACCATTCCAAGCTCGCTCCTTGCTACGATACTTCAACAAGCATGCATTGTTCAAGCTCGTCTCTTCTATTTGGTCACTTTCCGACAATTTTTAATGATTTAAAATTTTAAACCAAAACAATCCTCCTCCTTCCTGACCGGAACTGAACTGCACGAACTAATGCCATCTGTAGGCAATAAAAATAACGACAGTAAGAACAATACCCAGGAAGGGCATTCAGACTCACCGAGTTCATGAAGTAGCTCATATTTGGTGGTTGGATCCTCTCGGTTAACGGAGTCTGGAACCGAGCTAACAGAAGCCCTCCTTTTCAAATGCTGTCCCGGCTCATGCAGTCTGCCCTCATCCCCTTCCGAGGCCGCCTTCATGCTCTCCCCTGCCTCGCTCATAAAGGACGAACCGAATCCCGCTCCGTCGAGGCCAGTCTTCCTCACGAATGTACCCGACAAGGTCTCCCTAGGGCTTAGAGCTCCCCTCGACCTAGTAGTCGATCGGACCACAAAGGTCGAGTAGGCGTCATCGGGCTCCGACCTAGCCCTGGGACTCGAACGGTTGAAATCAAAAAAAGGAGATCGAAGCGGCCGGCGAGCAGAATGAGGTGAAGCCGAGGGGCGATCCTGCTTAACGATGAAGGTGCCGGATAATTCCGAGGAAGCGCCCATGTCTTCTTCATAGTCGTCGTCGTAACCTGCGGCATCGTCAAAGTCCTTTGGGAGACGCTGGAGAAGAGGGGGCAGGGATGAGGCGTCCACCTCATCGCCGTCGTCACCGACGGTGCCCATTGAGGGGCCATGACTCGGTACGGAGGCGATTTCGGGATCCGAACCATCGTCTCCATGGATGACAACAGTGGAGAATATATCGGATTGCTTCCCTCTGCGACCGCCCATGGCGAGATCGAGAACGACGAGAGAAGCAGACTTGGAAATGCGATCATGCGGGAGATTTCTCAGCCGAACCCTTCCGGCTGAGCGGGCCAGACTCGCAAGTCAGGATTCCTACGGGTAACCGTGACTGCGTTACTGAGATTGGAGAAAGGGAGCGGTGTGCATCATGCGGTCAAAATCAAAAAATCGAATCAAATCCGAAGTTCGGTTGGCTCCTTTTCTTCTTCTGTTTTTTTTCTTTTTTTTTTTTTTTTTCTTAGAACTAATATTTAAGGGTCTGTTTAACGCAGCTGCAGCTTTTCGGCTGCAGTTGCACTGCTCCAGAAAGTTGCTGCAGTGAAGCAGCTGCGGGGAAGCTGGCTATCTGTTTGATGCAGCTGTGTGAAAACAGTTGTGGGGCAGCTGTTTCTGAAGAAATGATCAAGCTGTCTCTATTTGGTTAAACTGTTTATATTATTGAATTGTACTCATATAATATTAATAGAAAAATTTGTATAAAAGTATAGACGAACTTATGAGGACTATATTTTTCAAATGTAGTGAAAACATTACTCTAGATTGATTTTATTTAAACACACGCACTTAAAAAATAAAAAAGAAGAGAAAATTTACAACCACAAATTATATGTATTTATATATCTAACTTTAAAACTTGTATATTTGCATTTATAATATTTTTGGTGTGAAGAACGTACACATGAAAGTGCATCTAATTCATAAAAGATAAATGATACTGGCATTTTTAATGTGATGTAATTGTTTGGAGCCTATATTCGCAACTATGAAAAGATATAGGTGTGAGATATACAAATACATGAGAAAAGTACAGTATATATTAAAGGGCTTTATTTGTCGTTGCCCTATGACAAGTACAAAATAATATTAATACTCAATGTCAATCACAATAAACATCAACACCAATAATACATGAAATCTTACATGCTATTAGACTCACAACAACATCAACCACCTTCTAATGTCTGAATTTCATGCTATTAATCTTCCATGCTATTAATGCTAATGCTATTAGTGCTTTTTCACCTACCCCTAAAAAAAATGCATTTCAATATTACAAAGTGATAGATTTGTGTGTTGTGTGTAAATATAAAAGTCTATGTGTGAGATATGTAAATGCATGATGCAGAACCGTTCCAGAAACCTGGATCAGAGAGACAGTGAATATTTCATGCTCTAGAACATTGAGAGAAAGAGACAGAGCTGCATTCTGCAGTAGTAGAATAAGCCCGTGCTATGACGGTAGACGACGGAATCGCCGTTCCAGTTTGCATCTACTGCAGCCTCGGAAATAAGGTGGATGTCGCTTCCCTGGATGATGGAGGTCAGCGTCATCGAGTTTGTGGAGTGGAATGTGTTCTTCTTCTCGGTAGAGCTCCAGGTCGCGCCTTGGCATTTGTAAATGTCGAGCATACAACATATTCATATAAAGTTGTATTTACCAGGAGCATCACTGTTCCATTCCAATTAAGTCAAGGACTGGAATTCAAGTAAACTTGAATGTACACAAGGATAATTAATACTTGCCAGCAATAGTTTTGATTTTAGTTTCATTTCCAGATTCAAATTTCTTTATATGTATGAAGAATTGATTAGCAATTATCCAGGTATATCTTCACATCTTAAGTTCAAGAGGGAATTTTGGATGAAAATACAATTTCATTAGTTCCAACAAATTTCATAGGAGATAAATGGTAAAGCAAATGTCATCACACAATTCTGCCACCTCACCTTCATGGAGATGGAATTTTGATGCAACTTGAAACCCTTCACCATGTGGTATGCAGTACGTAAGAATTGTGTGGAATGCATGTAAATTCCCCCAAATATACATGGCTCATTCTTATACATTATGTAAGAATTGAGTGGTATGCATTACCAGTAACGAGGCTTGAAGCAGGACAGAATAACTTCTATGTAAGCATATAGATCGAATAATACCTAAATGGGGTATGTACAAACATACCAACTGAAACAAGAATATCAGCATTGGACCAATAACAAGACTGTTTGATTAGAAAATTTAACACCTAAACTTTGATTTTTACATTTATACCACCCAAATATTTCTTATCACATAAAAATATCAATATTTTAACTTTTAAAAAACAAAATACACCTATTCATGCATGGGTAAGGAAGCATATATGTAAAAAAAAAAAAATCAAATATTAGATTTGTAAATATATAAGAATTGAGTAATATGTAAGTAAATCTTCCTATATTCTAATGCACCAAATCAAATGCAACCTCTCCAACCATCCCACAAATTATTTCATCCCCCATCTCCTCAACAACAGCCCCAAAATCCTCCCCACAAACACTACAAATCCATCCAAAATCCCATGAAGCATTCAAAGACACATTTTTGCACCTTAAATCTCTTTCCAATCTCAGATAAAAATCATCTTCTGATTCAGTTCTGTAAAAGTCATTCATTTCCTTCACACCATTACTGATATCTTCCACTAACTGTTCTAAAGATGTCATAAATTTTGAATTCTGTATATAATATTTTCCATATAGGATGATTCAAGAGACCAAGTTGGTAATTTTTTCTAGCCATGAACTCCATGGCACAATCAAGCTGAAGTCTGTGAGGGTTTTTCGCTCCAAATGGTTTTATTATAGGTTGATTTACATGCATTCCACTAAATTCCTATGTAAATACATAGCTAGCACAAACATTAATTTGATTCAAGAATTGTACTACTTTCAGCATTAGCATTGGTGCTAAAAAAATACTGCAAGATGTCACAATATCAAAAAAATAGTTCCCAGGAATCAAACTAAATAAAAGAAAACAACGTAATAAATAATTATGAAATTTAAAAAATCAGAGTAAGCAATATTTCTAATAATATTCAGCTAATAAGTTCTAAAATTTTTCATTCATAGGCATACTATCTCATCAGTTATTCGTTCCCTCAGCTCTGTCATCACGCTTGCACCTTCCCATCTACAGTGAAGGCGATGGAAGCCTCAGTCTCCTCTTCGGTGAAAGACTGACTTAGACGGTATTCAAATGCTTTCAAAAGCACATTTCCTTCATCTAATTCCGCCAAATGAAAGTCGATATCGCTACGGGAATGATGTCTTCTTATGTAATTATAGAGAGCCATTATAGCAAAGACAATCTGTACCTGCTTCAAAAAATTATAGAGAGGCATATCACGGAGTATCACCCATTTATTTTTCCAGACACCAAAAGTCCTCTCAATTACACCACGTAGCGATGAATGTCGTTTATTAAATATTTCATTTCTTCCTCGTGTAACGTTGCTTGCACGTACGAAATCTGGTATGTGATATCTCGTATCAGGAAATAATTTTAAATACCCTCGTTGCATTGGGTAACCAGCATCAACCAAGTAATATTTGTCTAATAAATGGAACAATTAGTAAGGAGATTCAAGTTTCTATCGGGATTCCCAAGTAATATTTGCCTAATAAATTGAACAATTCGTATGATTTCAATCCGAAGCATACCTGCAGGTGGATGTGGAAAGTTGCTTTTGGGATCCCGTGTCGCAGATTTGAAAACTCGACTGTCATGTGTGCTGCCCTCCCAGCCAGCCATAACAAACGTGAAACACATGTTAAAGTCGCAGACGACCATGACATTTTGGGTAGTGCTACTACAACGCTTGATAAATGCTACCTTATCACTATTTGGGATACGTGTGTCAACATATGTTCCATCAATCGTACCAATGCAGTCCTAATGAGTAAATATTAGGTTTGACGTAATATTTTAAATTCCTTTACAAAGTTAACTATAATGCATCCGAGAGAATACCTTAAAAAGGGCATATATCGTGCATCACGTGCTATCTCAGCGGGTATCTGCTCAAACTTATAATCTGTGGCTACTTATAAACTTATAATCTGTGGCTCTGATGACATGAGAGGACAGACTAACAAGTGCGCTCAATCCAATTGAGAAATATCTGCTTATTATTTCTGATGAGTGTTCAAATCGCTCTATTTCTCCTCGCATATACTCATTTTACGATAATATGAACAGTGTTATTGCGAGCACCTCACGTGGATTGGTCCTCGAAGGTCCATGAAGACCGTGAGATCCTATAAGTAAGTCCAGAAGATCGATGAATATTGGCTGACTCATTTGAAACATATTACAAAATCGTGTTGGGTGCCCCGCAAGCAACTCTCCAACCCATTTGTCGCCAATAGTCCAACCCATTTGTCGCCAATATAAGAAAATGTCATGCATGGCGACCGATCAATGTACGTGTTATAGTAATCATACATCAAACATATTGTCGTCAGAAACACTCCTCTCTGTTTTCTTTTGTGTGTATCCATGTGGGTCTCCATCCGTCTTCTTCTATTTGCATTCATAGTGATTGGTTTCCCTAAATGTATCCCCTAAACAATTATCATTTATATGAGAGTTGGTGACAATAAAAATAAATTTTTTTTTGCAAATAATTAGGAAGGTACAACAGAGTTCACAAGCACAACCCGAGAAAAAAAAAAATAGATAATGCAGTGCAAATATTCTAGTGATGAAAAATATAAAAAATATCAATTGTTCAAACGATTATAAAAACGCCGAATATATGTCACTCTGCATGCGGCAGACATCTGCACAAAAAGAAATCCCTATGGATCGGGTCCTCTAGCAATTCTGCTGCAAACAGATACAACTCTTTATCTACATAAATTTCGGTTGTAACACTTAGGATTTCAAGAACCTCCGCGATAGTGCTTGAATGAGAAGCCTGACATTCTGCTTTGAAACAAGAAACCGCCTCGGATAGCTCGTTTCTGAGGGAAGAAGCACCATATTTTCTTTTATCAACAACCCTAGGACGTTTGGAACGCGAAATGATTTCATATTCGTTCTGATCTGGGTTGGGGACGTCAATGAAATGAACTGAACCTCCAGGAGTTTCTAAATTCACGACATTGTCAGTGAACCCTGTCTCGCTTTGGCTACATGCATAGTTCCCAGTTGCAACCACTCCCCCAAACATGCAGTCGAGTTTCTCCTCAAATTCAGGTTCAATTCCTGAAAGCTTAAACTTCTTTGCAGCAGGAACCACCTACACAGAAATTGATAGACACCAAATTAGAATAAAATATAATGTAACAAAATGAAGAAGTTTACAAACAAAACTCACCGCAAGT